TCGTCAAAGGCCCTCATGCCCCTAATTCTCCCATTGTCATTCAAGCAAACAATGTGGCATTTTCTGATGTTATCCCGAAACAGTTCATGAACTCAGGAATCAAAGACTTCATCAACTATGTCAAAAGCTGCCCTATTCGATATGCCTTCTGCGACTTTCCAGAGCCATTCTAACCAAAGCAAGTATGTGAGTTCTATTATTAATGCTTTGTTGACTCTAGTGCTCAAACCATTACCAGAACCATTGGAGATGGTCAATCTAGAGCTACTATTGATGTGGAATCTTTTCGAATTTCTCTTCGTCTTCCTCCATTAGAAAACTATTCTGAAATTCATTCTGAACAAATATGCAAGTCCATTCGTGAAACATTAGGGTATTACTTTTTTCTTCAGGACACCTCTCGTTATCCATCCAAATACAATCTCCATCAGTGTTTTGGTGTAGGGTGGAAGTACCTATCAGGGGTAATTGGTAAATGTCTTGGACACAAAACTGGGAGCTTAGATCAATTGAATCTATTTAAGCAAATATCTCTATATTCCATGGTGTGCAACAAAAGACTAGATTTTGCTCAACTCTTTATTGATCAGTTGATTGATTGTATCACTGGGAACAAGAAGCCAACATATGTTCCTTATCCTCGTTGGCTTGGACTGATTTTGGCTCATAACGAAGAAGGTTATAACGTTAATCATGGGATCATCATTCCAATTCCTGGCCTTTCCTTAAAGATCATCAATGCTGCTTCTTCTGATGGTAATAAGCATATTACCCAGAGAATGGCAAATTGGATTGCAAATCCCTACACTGTTGAATCCTCTGACTCTGGTGCGGTTCCGGTCCCAACGTTCATCCCTATCCATAATCATGCACTATAATATTATTGGTAACATTCTATACAGCCAACAAATTTTTTTGACCAATTATGCAAATCAGATAAGTAACCCACCCTGAACGAAAGAAATAATTATATCGAGTCAGTTAGTTAAAAGTTGTTGGTATTTACCAATATAAATTACAGTGTGCAAGTGAAAACCGCATTTAGAACCCAAGAAGTACTTGTTTTATCAACTAAATAGACAATCAATATATCTTTAAAACTTATTTGGTATAAAGTTACCTCTTCTGCCAAACTGAAGAATTTTGTAACATCCCAAATTTCAAGCTCAAAAATTTCATTTTTCATTAAGTAATTCACAACATAGTCTACCAAAACATTTCCCATGCCATGTCATTTGTAAAAAGAAACATAACAATGTGTCTGAAAATCATATTGTCAAAAGTAAAATAAATCAGAGTACATTCCCAGAAAACTCCATGCGGAAACCATGTGTGTGTGTGATGCACTGCTACATTGTCGGCTCCTTCCCCTTAGACGAAGAGGTACCTGAAACCAAAACTAAAACTGTAAGCACAAAGCTTAGTGAGTTCCCCCATCATACCACATACCATACAGTCACATAGCATACATACTGTCGGACAATTCTGGGGCGCCCGTCCTACCCATGTCAAGCCATTCTGGGGTGCTGACCTACCCATGTCAAGCCATTATGGGGTGCTGACCTACCCATGTCGGGCAATTCTGTGGTGCCGACCTACCCTCCGGTCTTTCAACCAATCACGGGGACTATTTCACCCCCTACCGCTAACACATAATATAATATCTCAATCATGCTGTCAGACATATCTGGGGTGTCCGACCTACCCGTTGGTCCAAACGACCAATTCGGGGACTAGTCCCCTCCTACTGATACTATCTCACATAACAAAGCAACTAGCATACCTCCATACCAAGCAATCTAGCATACTCACATATCCAACTATAACAGACCAGACAATTATCACAAAGATAATCATCCCAGCTAACAATCACTAGTGGGCCGCCCTTGGTGCCTTAGACCCACTCCTACTGGAAGGTAACTCACCTCGATGTCGTGTAGTGTCTGAACTGTCCTCGACGTCAAGCTCGACTCTCCTCGACTCCTCAATCCCTACACGACAACCCTCAAGTCATCAAACAGAACATACAACCCTAACCAGGGTCAATACCAAAACCAGGCAAAGTCAACATTGGTCAAAGTCAACATCCAGTTGACCTGACTCGCCGAGTTGTTCTACCAACTCTTCGAGTCCATGCCCCACTAACCCGATCCAACCCCGACTTCAATCGTCGATTCTAGCAAGAACTCGAAGGGTTCTCCTTTATCCAACCCATCGGGACCCTCTTCATCCGACTCGCCGAGTTCTTCCTTGAACTCGGTGAGCTCATCTCACTCATAAGAATGTGTCCGGTCTACGACTCACCGAGTTGTATGAACAACTCGTCGAGTCCATCTTCAAAGATTGGGAGATTGCCTTGGACTCGTCGAGCCTGCTCATACACTCGTCGAGTCCCATGATTCCCAGGTCCCTTTTCGTGTCTAAACATCCACGGGACTTCCTCCCTAACATCTGGTCCATCCACAGAAAGGATTTGGCGGTCAATACACCTCGACTCGCCGAGTCCCAAGAACAACTCGTCGAGTCCATCCTTGACCAACACTATACAATCGATTTAAATGGGTCTTAACACACCAAAACCATAGATCTGGCCCCCCTAATGTCCATTTCATACGTAAGCTCCAAACTTGGAGCACATGCATGGGGGCTTTGGCTCTAAAAGCCATAAAAGGTGCTCTACAAGGTGCATGGGGCTCTCATGGCCATAAAGTTGGCACCTTTATGCCATGAGACCCTTCCAATGACTCAGATTTGAAGTCAAGACCTCATATAACACTCCACAAATCCGAATATGGCTTGGAAAGCCCTAAATGTGCCCAAAACCCAAGTCCAAAGATGAATAAACACATAGAAGACCAAGACAGGGGCATTTTACCTTGATTGAGCTGAAAATGGAACTAGATCCCTGAATCTCTAAGCCCCAACTCGAACTCTCAAGCTTCTTTCTTCTTCTCCAAGCTACACAAACCACCAAATGTACCAAAATGGCCTTAGAACACACAAAAACGGCTAGGGTTTCGTTACACAGCTTTCTGGGAGTGATAAGGGTGACGGAGGCTGAGATAAGGTGTTTAAATAGGGTGCAAACCCTCAGATTTAGGGTTTCACTCAACCAACACCTACTCGCCGAGTCAGTATCCCGACTCGTCGAGTAGGTCACTTAAACTGTCCGCGGATCTCGACTTTACTCGACGAGTCGGGCCTCCAACTCGTCGAGTCCCATAGAAAAACACAAGAAATGCTTGAATTAACTACGTACCAGGAATCGGGTGTTACAAATTTTTTGGAATCATTAGGACCATAGATGGATGAATGTAAGGCTATTATTACAGCTGCAAAGCATGGTAACTCATCCATCTACATATATAAGAATATATTATAAACACAAAAATTTAACTGGAAATTGTAAACAACAGCTAGAAGTTAGAAATTTCAGTCCACTGAAATCAATGTATTGTCCAATACTCCGGTGCAATGTTTTTCTCCATTTTGATCACCATCTACCCTTTTCAAATTAGACCAACGTAACACACAAACCTTAAATCAAACGAACACAATTTCAGGCGAGAACCCAAATTCTGGTAGCAGAAAAAACAAATCAATATGAATATATCCCTCAATCAAAGAAAAAAGATTAATCATGGCAAGTTGTTAAAAATATCAAAAACCCTTTCAAAGTTATGATCATCGTTATTACCCATAACTGGAAATTCGAAATATCACAACTTATCAGATAATCGACTGCACCCGATGCTCAATAATCGAAGTTGGGATTTTTTTCACAAATCGAAAACATCATCGCCTCAATGCCAAAAAAAAAAAAAATCAGAACCCAGAAGAAGGAAGATTAGGGCAAACCATTCCAAATTCGTCGACCCAGCTGACCCCCAATCTCTCCTTCAACAACTCGTTGTAGCAGGCTTTGGAGAGAACGTTCCATCACCACGACTATATGCTAATCGGAGGCGAGGCTTCAAAAAGGCAAATATATATATATATATATATATATATTATATATATATATATATATATATATATATATATATATAAACATCTTCAAAGCAGGACCAAAAAAATAATAAAAAGTGAACCAATAACAACATGGATCATGGTGGAAGACAGGTTTTTTTTTGAAGGAACACTGTTGTGGGTCGATGGCAACCTTCCCCAAAGAGAAGCCCTATGAATAGAGAAAACAATAGATAGAAGATGATAAGTCGTAAGGTAGTCGATGGAAGAATAAGGAGGTGGATAATGGGTATGGAAAAAATTAAAAAGGCGCAGATGAGGCTGCGGGGAAAGTTTTTGGTGGTAAAAGGCGATTGGAAGTTGATGCGGTGACCCGAATACCCAAGATCAGTCGCAAAGGGAAAGATAAAGGTGGACAGATCTTGAAAAAAAAAAATTAAACCAATAAGAACCTTTTACTGTTCCTAAGAAAACAAAGTTTTAATCTATTATATAATTGATCTTGGATTTTGGCTATTATTCAACAATACATAAATTTATTACATGAGATAGTGGCCGTATATGGCTATGTGCTATAATGTTTTTCTAAACGAAAATGTAAACAAAATTGAGTTCCATAAAGCAACTCTATGTACTTAAACAACAATAACATATTTTTTTACTGTGAAGACAAGAAAAATATCTAAAATACATACTGATTTTACGTTTAAATTCATATGAATCTGCAAGTAAACTAAATAATATAAGTGATCAAAATCAAAACAATACATTTTTTCACTTAGGTTGGAACAAAAATATAAAGTCACACTTTTCCCATATAAAAACGTGCCGATCTTTTTTAGATTATATTCAGTTAAATTTTTTGACACAATATTAAATTTAAAGTTATTTAAATATTTTGATGGATTAATAGATTTTAAATGGTAAATGTCAATTAAACGTTGAACTGTAATTTAAAAAAAATGGTAAAAGAAAAGCTAGGAAATAGGGAGGAAAAAAGGGTAAACACATTTTAAGGAGGAGCCTTTAAAGGCTGAACCTTTGTTCTTAGATATTTGATACAGACGACAGAGGACAGACGTGTCAATTCTTTCTCTATGGCATAGAAATCGCGCCCAACAAACAACAATTGAAATAATTCTTTTACCATCTATCAAACCGATTTCAACCCTCCGTCTTCCGCATTTCCTATGTTATGTAAATCAACAACACACAAATCCATACACTTTCTCCATTACTTTTCGTTTTCGTTTTCCATCTGCCACAACTTCATCTTCCTCGCTTTCTTTTTCTTTTGCTTTTATAACAACAAAGATTTCGTAGGGTTTTGTATTTTCCAATGTATTGAAACAGGAAACACTGCTTCAGAGGTACGTTTGTTTTCCTTACGGTTTTGATAATTGATATTCTTCTACGGTGAATTCGTTTTCATTGTCTTCGTTTTTTCCTCCATTAATTGCGATGGATCTCGATTCGATTTGTTTTATGTTCCTGTTGAATCGTATCCTTGATGATACAAATTTTGGTTTTCATCAGGTAATATTGATTATATCGCACGGCAATGTTTTCCGTAAATTGAACGAGTCTTCTATCTCAATTTAGGGTCAGGTTCCTATCAAATAAGTTTGATTTTGCTTAGAAAAATGGTCAAATTTGTGTTTGGTTGGTGAATTGAGGTGGTGAGTGTTAGTTTTTGGGGTGTAGGGTTAGTGAGAAGATGACCGATGTTCAACAGCAATTTCCACAGAAGCCTGAGACCGCTGTTACTACCACTACCGATGCCTGTTTGGATTTCGAAAGAAGATTTGAGGAATTAATGAGGGGGCAATTGGATGATTGTATGTCATTTGCATCATGCAGCTCCCCGCGTGGTGAGGATGACGACGAGACTGAGATTGGTGGTGATCAGCTCATGAGAAGGAGGAGGAGGTCGGATCTCGAAGGTGATGATCTGGCAGAATCATCAGCTGCCAGAAGACGTCACTCGCGGATTTTAAGCAGATGGGCTGCCAGGCAAGCACAGGAGATGATTGCCACAACAGAGAGGAGAAACCGTGAGTCTGAGTTAATGGCACTTGCTGGTTTGCATACTGTTTCCATGTTGGATTCGTCATTCTTGAGGGAGTCTCAGTCTCAGTCTCCTTCTCCTACGTCCAGAGGGAATGCCGAGAGACCGAGAACACGTGCGTCTTCCATCTTACAGATGTGGAGAGAGTTGGAAGATGAACATGTGTTGAACCGTGCACGTGAAAGGGTAAGAGTGAGACTCAGACATCAGAGGAGTGTTGACTCGAACACAAATGTTTCAAGCACCACAGAAGGCAGGGGGAGTGAACATCAAGGTAGTGAGAACGAGTATGGAAGTTGGTCACACGATCAAATGGAAGCACAGAACGAGAGTCAAGACAATGAGGTGTCTAGCCGGGAACAAACTCCTGATATAGGTGAGGTGGAAAGGGAGAGGGTGAGGCACATTGTTCAGGGGTGGAGGGAGAGTGGTGTGAGTGTAACAGATAGGGGTAGTAGTAGTAGTCCAAGAGCAGAATGGCTTGGGGAAACAGAGCGTGAAAGAGTGAGGATTGTGAGGGAGTGGGTACAAATGACTAGTCAGCAGAGGGGATCTCGTAGGGAGGAGCAAGGTGGTGAAGGGCAGCCGGAGCATATACGAAGGGATATGTTGAGGTTGCGTGGTAGACAAGCTCTACTTGATTTACTTATGAGGGTTGAAAGAGAACGCCAGAGGGAACTTGAGGGTTTGATTGAGTATCGTGCGGTTTCTGATTTTGCACATCGGAACCGCATTCAGGTCAGTTCCTTCTCAATCTCATTCAAAAGTCAAAATCCCATATATATATATAACTTTATAACTAGATTATGTTTATTTTTTGTAGTCGTTACTGAGAGGCAGATTTTTGCGAAACGAAAGACCTGTAGAGGATGAGAGACCATCTTCAGTTGCAGCAAGTGAGATGGTTCAGTTGAGACAACGAAACACAGTCTCTGGTTTGAGGTATATATTATATTTGTATAAGATGAGATGTTATTAGTGATTGTCAGTTGCTGATGTGGCGCCCTGTTGGAGCAGGGAAGGGTTTAGGTCCAGATCAGAGAACAGTTCTTCACAGGAGATCACGGAACATGAAGACCAAGAACAATCAGAAATCTGGGTGGAGGAAAGCGAGATTCATCAGGTGACGGTGAGTGATCGAACCGGAAGTTTGGAGAGCATTGCAGCTGTTGAGAGCACAAATGAAGAAGTGGATATTGATGAAGGAGAGGAGTGGCGAGACCAGGTTGTTGAAGATGAGAGAGGAGAGTGGCAGGAGGAGACTTCAGTTATTACTGATGGAGATGGTGCACATGAGGTTGAGAATTGGTCAGAAGGACCTTCTGATCCACCAAGAATGCCACATTCTGGTAGTGTTAGGCGACCCAATAGGTTTCACTTTCACCCACCAGAGGATGATAACGTGTACAGCATGGAACTCAGGGAACTTTTAAGCAGGTACTAAACAGTAAATAGGGTTGTGTTGTTTTTATCATTGGATTAACTGATTTTTTGTTGTTTATTGTAGGAGAAGTGTTTCTAATCTTCTTCGTAGTGGTTTCCGTGAGAGTTTGGACCAGTTGATACAATCGTATGTGAGCAGACAAGGTCAAGGTCAAAGTCGTGCACCCATCGATTGGGATCTTCACCGGAATATACCTACCCCAGCTTCACCAGAGGGTGAGCAGGAACAACAACAGCACAGGGACAGAGACGGACAGGTTTTAGCATCTCCTCCTCCTGTCCCCCCACCACAACCAATCTGGCATCATTTGCCTTATTCCAGTTGGTCACGTCACAGCATGCATCAGCATCGCTCTGAACTCGTAAGTTAAGCTGTTGTCATATTAATATATTATGTACTAAGTTGATATAGAACCATTAATTTGTGGAATTAAGCTTGATGTTAATGGAGCAGGAGTGGGAGATGATTAATGATTTGAGGGCAGATATGGCGAGGCTGCAACAGGGGATGACCCACATGCAGAGGATGCTCGAGGCTTGCATGGACATGCAACTTGAGCTTCAACGCTCTGTCAGACAGGAAGTTTCGGCTGCTTTGAATCGGTCGGAGAGCGGTGCTCAAGGTACATGTCAGCACCAGAGGTTAATAAACATTGTAAAGTTAACTGCTGATTAATAATATCATGGAGTTTTATCATAATTGCTGCAGGTATTGATGCGGAAACATCAGAAGATGGATCAAAATGGGTTCAAGTCAGAAAAGGAACCTGTTGTGTTTGTTGTGATAGCCAGATTGATTCTTTGTTGTACAGGTATATATCTGGTAATTACTTTTACATGTTAAAAACATATTATATAATTGTAATTACTTTTATATTGTTGCAGATGTGGGCACATGTGTACTTGTTCAAAGTGTGCAAATGAGCTGATTCGTGGAGGGGGGAAATGTCCATTGTGCAGGGCACCCATTGTTGAGGTCATCCGAGCTTACTCCATACTGTAGTAGTGTAAACAGAGACAACAAACTCAAACTGACCCAAACAAATTCTTTGTGTTCTCTCATCGCTGGAGATTAGATAACTGAGAGTGCTTCATTTTTGCCTCACTACTGTTGTTGTACTGAATGATTATTGTGCACTCGTTGTATAATTGGAATAACATGTATGTGGCTCTTTTTCATTCCTTCATTGCTGCGTGCGTAATAAAGTTAAAAGTTACATAGTAAAATCTTCTTTTTTCCTTACAATTTCAACCAAACAGTAGGAATATGGAATGGAGTTTGTGTTTTTTTTTTAAATGGAAGTATTAAACTAGGATTAAAGGAAGGGATTAGGGTTTGCATATTTCCCAGTTTCTTCTGTATTATCAACTTTGTTCGTTTCCTTTCATTTGGGCTTCTAGCCTTCTGATTTCAGCCTGTAGATTCATTCATGACACATATGAGTCTTTGATTGTTGTATCTTTTATTACAAGTATTACTTTCATTTCATCTGTGACTGTAAGCGGTTTTCTAAGTAGTCTTTATTACAAGTCGAGTAATTTTGTTTTCAAGAATCTTATCTTGTTGACTGCAATTTGGAATTTTTTGTTTTACAGCTAAGCACCACCATGTTGGTTTGATTCTTCAGATATGGTTGGTTTGATGTATCTTGTTGTACATTATCTTCAGCCCACCCCTCTGCTCTGCACATGATATCAACATACTCTAAACGTCAAGACTGTTGTGTCTTGTATATACGTTGTAATTGAAATGGTATTGGATTAACACTTAACACTATGGATGGGCAACGGAATGACCACAGGCAATAGCCTCATTAGGATTAGCTAATTACTTACAACTGATGTGAAATCCATGCGAAAGACGAAACTGAAACATCTCTAGCTATCATCACCTCATCTCCTTCAACACCATGAGGAGAGGAGAGACAAAACCAAAACCACAACCACAACCGCCACCACATCAAAGAGGAACCCAATACTTAGCCTTTTTCAACGGACCCACCCCTCTCCTTGGACATGGTTTTATTCTTAACAACATATATTAATAATAAAATAAAATATGTATATTAATAAATACACATAAAATTATAAGAAACTTACAAATCTAGCATAATACTTTAATGACTTTTTAAAAAATAGCCAAAAATCCAGTATTCAGAAAAATAGTCATTGAAATCGTAGGTGGCTAAGCTCACCTGCAATTTCCTACCTTCTAACTATGATTTCCTCTTTCTTAGGTTGTGATTTGGCCCCAATTTTGGCCCATGGCCCAAATACTAAGGTGTAGGTATAAGATTTTTTTTGTTTTATATTTTTTCCTGAAATCACAAATGATTAAGGGCATCTGCGATTTCCTCTCATCTGACTGTGATTTCCTCATGAAATTTGGGTTTTTTTTTCTTTTTTTTTGTCCCGATGGTAAGAATAGGACTAAAAAATGATTTTTTTTCATGTCCCAATAATAATAAAAACGATTCTAAAAGTCACATATGGTAAAAAATATATCAAAAATTAGAAGATTTGGCCGAAAAGAAACACAGGTACAAGTACCTGATGCACAAGTTGTATATCAGCGACTTGTACATTCACAGATGACCTTCTACCTGAGATTTCCTCTAAATGGACAACCTAACTGCGATTTTCTCTCACAATAATATCAAAGTGTGAAAATGAGAGGTGTTTCCAAAATTTGAGGTTTTTATATTTCTTGAACACTGGCCGAAATTGGGGTCAAATCCCAGCCCAAGAATAGGAAATCACAACTAAAGAGTACGAAATCACAGTTGTGGCTAATCACATGTAATTTCAATGGTTATTTTTTGGAAAAACACTAATATTTAGCCTTTTTTTAAAAAGAAATTAAAAGATTTGACTATATTTGTATTTCTCTGAAATTACAATTAAAAACATAATTATTATACTGTGAGACTACCATGGCATGTGGATGACACATGAGTAGGGGACATATAAAGAGTATCTAGATGAAAATGTGATACATAGTGGTAGTTATTGAATAAGAACAAAAGGGTTTCTAAGTGGTATCCGGTGTTGCCCTATCTCTTTGAGGTCAATGGTTCAAGTCTCATTATGGACGTAGTTGGAATAATTTAAGAGTATTTATTAAAAAAAAAACTATTGAACAAGAAAAAATAAATTTAAAGATACTCCTCCTCTGAGTGAAAAGAACAAATAAGTCGATGACTTTAAGGAATTAGGATTGACATCATGACATGTCATAACTCATAATGTCATTTACTTTTGGGTAATTGGGTTTCCCTCTTATTTAGAGAATGGCCCAAAAAGGAAGAAAACCAAAAACGAAAACGAATGGGAGGCCCATGTCCATGGAGGAAAATTTTGTCCAAAGAAAAGAATAAGGAATTAGGATTGTATACAGCGGGAAAAAAAGTAGCAGAATAATCAGTAGGAGAGTGTCACTGTGTCACTCACATCACAGCAATAGCAGCAGCAGAAAAACGAGAGATAGAAAGGAAAGGAAGCAATCTTGGTCCGATCGAGCTGAAACTCGACAGGCGTCTTGCGTTGCGACGTCCAACGGTGGAGATTGACTTGGAAGATGTGCACTACGGCCTGCCAACTTCTCAGTAGATGTTTTTTCTGAATCTCTCTTGTTGCCAAAACAATAAGTCTTCTTCTTGAGCTTTTAGCTCCTAGATTTGCATAGCAAAGAAGTTTGCTATATATATGTATGTACCCTTTCGTAATATTGGAAACCCCAAAAATAGGTTTCTCCACTCCACGTTGAAATTGTTTGTGTTTGTCTTGATTAAAATTTGATCCCTATTGTTTCACTTTCACACAAAGAAGAAAGTTTTCTCCAACAAAGCTAGGGTTGGTTTGTAATTGTTGTTCATAATAATAATCTTATCTTATCTTGTGTTATGTTGTGTTGAAGAATATGGAAGCAAATTTGAGTAGAATGATTACCTTGAATGGTTCTAACTACCATACATGGAAATGTAGAATGGAAGATCTCCTCTATATTAATCATTTACATTTACCAGTGTTTGCCATGGAGAAACCAGAAGATATGTCTGAACAACAATGGACTCTGTTTGTTACATCGCAAAGTTTGTGGGTATATATAAGGCAATGGGTGGATGATAATGTTTTGAATCACATCAGTGAAGAAAAACATGCACAAACACTTTGGAACAAACTTCAGCAGTTGTATGCTCCAAGAAAAACAGCACGAAATGACAACAAGACGTTTCTCATCAAGCAGTTGATGACCTTGAGGTATCAGGAAGCCACTCCACTGACAGCTCACCTTGAAATATTCCAAGGTATAATTAATCAGCTAGCTGGGAAGGGTATAAAGGTCGATGATGAGATTCAGGGGTTATGTTTACTTGCTACATTTGCCAGACTCATGGGAGACATTTACAATGTTGTTGTTAAGTTATTCAGCGCCGAATGGTGTAGTCAACATGGATTTGGCTAAAACCAGTATCTTGAATGAAGAAATGAGGAGAAAGTCAGATGGGGGGGTCGATTCTTGTTACAGAAAAAAGAGATTGCAAGAATAAGGGAAAAGCTACTGCTGAATGTTATCATTGTGGAGAAAAGGGCACATTAGGAAGTATAAGTGTAACTGTAAGGTACTTACTTACTTTCATGTTTTCCTTCTTCTTGCTACAATTCCTGAAACCTCAAATATTGGGGTCTAGTTCCACACACCTGCATTTTAGATTATTGCAATGAATTTGCTGTGCGTGTGAAAAAGGAAGGAGAATGGATAAGTTAGGTACCTTCATGTGTACCGCCTTCTCTGGTTCCGGCCCCACCACAACCAATTTAGCATCATATGCCGTATTCTAGTTGCTTGTGTGTAAGTTATCATATCTTTACTTGTAAAACAAACCATCTTATTTGTATGTTAAGCATGATGTGCTGTTGCTGTTGGCAAGTTTCTGATTTTAGCTTAATTAGAAATCTGATTTGTTTTGCTATGATAATGGCAAAAACCAAATGATCTTCAAATTCAGTCAGGTATTGAATGATTGTTACACATTGTATAATTGGAATAACGTGCGGCTCGTTTTCATTCCTTCATTGCTGCGTGCGTAATAAAGTTACATGGAAAAATCTTCTTTTCGCCTTAAATTTTCAACCAAATTGGGATGGAACTGGAATTGGTTGTTACTTGTTAAATATGCTAATGTGAGAAAAAGGAGCCAAAACTTTTAAACTAGTCTTATTGCTTTCGAATAGCAGAAAGGTAATAAAGTTGTGGACTGGAGCCAAAACTTTTATCTTTTCACATGTGGATTGCTGCTTGTGTGATTCTTACAGTTGACATGAATACAGTGTAGAATGAAGAGATTGTAAGTAATGATCTGAGAAAAATTTTCTTCATCTCTTCAGTAAATAGAGCATGTACAAATTACACAATTTGTGTTTTTACATAACATGTACTAAACTAGGATACATACATGGCCCTTGAGAAGAAAAAAAAAAAAAAAAAAAAAAAAAAACATTACCATCTAACTCGTATTTTCTTCTATCTCCTATTTGTTGTATTCATTTACCCCATGCTATTTCTTCAACAACTTAATCAACATACAATGAATAAGAAAGATAAATTTACCTGGGTAATGGTAATCAGGAGGCAATGATAAACTGATAATGGTATACGAATTATCCCTGAATTTATGAAAACCAGCTCCTTCCAGTTCCAGGCCTGTCAGCCTTTAGCTTTATCACAAGCTCTTCTCTTTCAGCTTCTACTTCTGCATATTTCAGGCTCATATGGAGGTAACGTTCTTGAAGCTCTTTCAATTCGGTCTCCAGTAAAGATACATCTCTATCATGGTCTTTATTAATTCCTTCCACATCCTGTTCAATAATAATTAATAAACAAGGTTAGAAGCCAACACTTATAACCTTAGTTGTATAAAATTCACCATAAAGAAAGAATCGCATATAGACCTCTGATGGCTTCATGCTATCTGATACAAAAGAAACAGGACTGTTAGTAGTCGAGCACTCAGTGTGTTCCAGTTTCTCTTCAAGAACTTGAGCGTTCTTCATGCATTCATCTTTTTCTTCTTGAAGACTGTTTATCTTCCATTGTAGTTGACTATTTGACCGTTTCAAACGCCCGAGCTCATTTTTCAACTCAGCATCCTGTGCAGATAATGCTTCTCTTGCAGTTAAATCACCCTGAAGCCGCATAATTTGTTCCTCTAATGCAACTTTACTACGCTTATGATCTTCCAATTCGCTAACCGCTTTCTGCATGCTACATGTTCTCTTCAACAATAAACTTTTCGCTTCCTTCAGTTCTTTATAATCCCCTGTTATCATTTGTAACGAAGCTTCAAGTCTTTCATTCTCATATTTCACATCATTCAGTTCGTTCTTCAGAGCCACCACTTCCTCCTGCAAAATTGGAATCTTCACCAATTGATCTTTAAGACTCGAGATCTCTTCTGTTAATTGTACTCTTTCGTATTCGGAACGTTTAAGGTTGCCATCCAGCTCAGCAACTGTGATTCTCACCTTTTCTTCATCAAATCTAGTATTCTCCAGTAGCTCCATCATTTTTTCAAGATTTGCTTCTAGAACTCCATGGTTCTGTCTGGAAGCAGACAGCTCAACAGTCAGCTCCTGAATCCTTGCTTCATATTCAACTTGGACAGTATGAAGCTTCTTCTCAGATGCTCTGAATTTTTCTTCCAGATTATCGTTATTTGCACGTAAGACATGCATTTCAAGCACAGCTTCTGAAGCCATTCTATCCTTTTCATCTTGAGTTGAATATATTTGTGTGCTGAGATGTGCTGTCTCTTGTTGAAGGTTATCAATTTCAACCATCTTCTCCAAGTACATTTGATTGAACAAGTTAAGCTTCTCTGTCTGCTCTTCGTTCACCAGATGTAAAGCCGCAACTTCCGAATCAAACATTTTCTCTTTTGCAGCAATCTCATTTATCATCGAGGAAAACTTACCTTCTAAATCTTGTAAGTTTTTTGATAATTTGGAGAACTTATGTTGTGATTCCTTCAGTTCTGTTTCTAGGGCAATGCAGCGATTGTATAAATCGAGTCTTTGTTGCTTTAGTTCTCGATTTGACTTTTGAAGTGCACTGGATTCTTCAATCAAATTTTCAGCAGTAGCTTGTAGCTTCGGGTTAGCTTTTTTCAGATACTCGCATTCCTCTTGAGCTTCCAACCATCTTTTCTGCATGTTTTCCAGTTTCTGTCTCATATCAACTTTGTTTGTTTCCATTTCGTCTTCTAGCCTTCTGACTTCAGCCTGTAGATTCACGACACGTGTCTCTGAATGGTCCATCTCTAAACGACTTGATTCTCTTGCATCAGTTAAGTATCTGAGTTGAGGTTCCAATCCAGATATGCGTTCTGATAAGTGTAGATTTTCTAGTTCCATTTCACCCAAGTGAAGCTCTAACTCCTTGTTACAGCTTTCAATCTCAAGTAATTTCTTTTCGAGAATCTTGTTGGCTGCAACTTGGGAATCTTTTTGAGCGCTGAGCACCACCATGTCGCTTTTTACCTTTTCTAGACATTCAGAGATGATTGTGCTGTCAGATTGCATGGTTTTCATAGCTCCCTTCAACTGAGTCTTTAATGTTTGCAGTTTAGACAATTGAGCCTCCAGGTCTCTTTGGTAGCAACTTTGGCGCTCAATCTCCTTGTCCTTCACCAAACAATCTGATTTAAGCTTTTCTATCTCACAGTTTTTTGCTGCCAATAGTTCCTTATCTACACCACCCACTCTGGATTTTAGCTCCATATTCAACTTCTCTAGCATATCACCATTGTCAGTCTCATTTTCAACATTACAAGGATTGCTTATCATTGTTTTGATCTGTTCACCACATTGTACATTATCTTCAGCATGTCCTTCTCCAGTGAATGAATCTACACATATCAAAAATATTTTGAACATTAAAACTGAAACTTGTTATTGACTTACCTGAAACCAGTCCTAAAAAAGACTAGACTGATTAGGATCGGTTCCAGTCCTTTGCCTGGACTGGTCTAAAACCGCACTGAAATCAGTCCTAAGCTGAAACCGGTTTCAGTCCTAAACTACTAAAAAAACTGAAACCGGTCTAACACCTTAGTGAAATCAATCCTAAAACCGTTTTCTCAGTTATATATATATATATATATATATATATATATATATATATATATATATATTAGGTATTTTGTAAATTAAGGGTAGATTTTTTATTTCACAACCAACAATATTGTGGCCAAAAAAGCAACCCCTTGGTATTCAGCACTAAATATAATCAGGTTGAAGATTTAATCGATGGGATTGGTCAAAATGTATCTTTACATCCGGACACGGATTCCCAAATTATAGCAAAAAGTATATAAATATTTAACGAAATATTTGTCAATTTTTTAATTTTATTTAAACAAAAATCGTCAACAAATCCTACCTGATAACGAACATTAACCTTTGAAGGAACAAGTAGTTTGTCTACAAAAAAAAAAGACTAAATTGTATATGGAGCGACTTTTAATAAACGCTTTAGTTATGATTTTAGTTTGTAATTGTAAGTTATATAACAAGGTAATAATAATTTGTTGAAGGTTTTTTATATTGATTGTCATACTAGTTGCTAAACAATTATATAAAAATGATATGTAACTGCTATTATTTGTTTAGAAAAAACAGACTGTTTAGGACTGAAATGAAACCGGCCTATGTGCATCTCTAATTAGTCAGGTCAACTTTGCATAGAATATAATTGTAAGGTACTTACTTTCATGTTTTCCTTCTTGCTGCAGTTTCAACAATTGTTTCAGTGCAGCAACCTCATTTTCCTGATCTTCTGCTTTTGCACGGTATTTATGCAGTTCATCATCAAGATAACAAGCTTTATCCTTGAAACCCTGCATCTTGGCCTCTAGTTCCACACACTTGTTTTCTAGATCATTGCAACGAATTTGTAGGTAGCAAGCATCTATTCCATCAACCTCTCTCTTCTTCGCCTCTTCTTTCAGCTGCTGTATCTGGCATTCAAGTTCGATCATCTCCGAATCTTCAATATTGGGGGACTTGGAACCACTATCCTTACTTGATTCTTTAAGCTTAGATAGGAGTTCAAGATTTTCATCAGTAAGCTCATTACAATCACTCTCAAGCTCCCGAATCTTATCCTTCAAAGCTTGAACTTCAATGAGATCTGGTATTTCCTCTGGAACTTGAGCAGATAATTTTCCTTTTAAAATAAAATTTTCTTCATCTTTCAAGCTTAATTTCTTCGACCATTCAGACTCATAATCCAGTAGAGTTTGAGCCTTGAGAACTTGTTCATCTTTCAAGCTTAATCTCTGTTTCTCTATGGTCTCTTCCAGTTCCTGTAGAATAGAAACTAACTCAAGATTTGATTCTTGAGTTTTATTTAGTTGCAGAGATAAATTATTATTCAACTCTCTCTGAAATTTTAATTCCTCTTCCAATTCCGTCCGAATATCATCCTTCTCTTGGAGCTTTAGATTATCAGCAGCCTCTTCTTTCACTTCAGCTTCATCCAGGAGAGCTTTCAAGTAATCTATTTCATGTTTCAGTCCATCACATTCTGTCTGCAATGCAAGAACCTCCATACTTGCATTTTCAAACTTCCTTGTTTGGTCTCTTGAATCCTTTTTTGAGAAATCCAGATCAATCTTTAACTTCCTTGCATTTCTTTCCCACATTCTTGCTTCTGCCCTGAGTTCTTCAACTGTCGCCCCTTCTGATTCCGGACCAAATTCAATGGAACCAGAAGTCCGTAATGGCGATGCCGGAACGGAATGTGAAACTTTCCCAGAATCATGTCTTTGACTTAAAGTATGCTTTCCTGAGCCATAAGGAGAACGAATCGATCTAGGAGAATCATAGGCACGATATGAGCCATATTGGGTGCTATTTAAAGAGCCAACGGAATCCTGTATTCCGATTACGCCATTCGTAACTTCACTTAGATTCCTATGAGGGGAATAACTTTCCCTGCCAAAAGAATCATCCATTGAATCAAAGCTACTGCGTGACCCCCCTGTAGATAAGCTTCTATCTTGTACAACACGCTTGCTGATTTTACCATCAGATATATCTGATGTGTTATCAAGGTCATCAGAAGCATTGGTATCTTCTGTAAGAGAATCAGTGTCTACCCATCTTTCATTCCTGAAAAATATGGCATCTTTTAGAACCAATGCTAATGACTGAAAGAATAAATATCAAGATGCTCTTGTTCAGAAACAAACCTCAGACTTGTGTGTGGTGTTAGGCACCTAATTTCCACCTGCAAGAATAAACAACCTAAATTTCATCAGAAAATGTTAAATTTCAATCCATAAGAAAGGTAAGGTTTTATTAATTGTTTTTCAAAAGGAGACTGGAAGCATCTGATGATGACTAACCTGCAAGATTGTCCCATGACTACAGTTTTTTAGCGGTTCCGTGATAGAAATACAAGTTTCAGAATTCAAGTGATTTGACAAATTTACTGTAACTTCTCCAAGAATGCTAGATCTTCCTGATCCCTGAAGAAAGACATTAATCATACATTATTAGTGGAATAATCATACAACATTACAAGCACGTGGGTAAATACAAATTTGATCGAACTGAAACTTAATTAGAAACATGAAACAGATCAAACCATTGAAATGAGAAGCTTATACAGACACTGCTCAAGCCCTTTTGAAGCCTCATCATGGGGAACTGAAATGTATTCTGACAAATTCTCAGTCCATTGACAGTTTCCATTCTGTACTGATGCTCGACCTGTTTTGGCGAGAGTTTTTCCTGTTTCTACAGAGATGATAGACAGTGAAAGCTTATCCCATCCCTTGGGGACCTGAAAGTGCAAAACAAAATGAGCAATCTGCCACAGGTGTGGTTAACACAAAATGAATCTGTCACAACTGAAGTTTGAAATAGATAGGTGCTTGAAATATAACATATGCCAGCTGTCTAACATAGGCCAGCTGTTGTTAAACTCGTCATGAGGTTACATAAACTATGAAACAGATTTCAGTATATACTGTGTTCCAAAGGGCACAAGGGTATTACTAAATAAATCACTTCAAATTCTAAGTCTCTTCATGGTATCAAAGGTTAGTATTGTGGACCTAGATTTTCCCTGGACAAATTGTGTGGCCTTAATGCAATATTATCCTAATTAAGCTACATAAGCCTGAACAGTAATGCTAAAGAGATCACAAAGTACACAAGGGAGTTTTAGTGAATATTTTGTATGAATACTCAAGAACTGACTTCATTAGCTCCTCCTTGGATGAGCTTTAGTTAGATTCCTAATGGTTTAGAAATGAAGAACTTTCCCCTCTCTAAAGGAAACTCCACCTTCTAAACAGAATTTATTTCATGATATCCATTAGTAAACTTTTTGCCTCATGAATCGGGCATGGTTCTAGTCTATAATATTTTAGGGCCATTCAATTTGAAACGCAGGGAAAAAATGAAACCGGACCTAATGAATTTAAAACAGAGGGAGTAGCAACAAATAAAGATAAGAGAACATCATTCCACATAATTTACTTAAAAACTCACTTATAACTCGATATATATCAGACATTCGATAGTTTTTCTTTTTTTCTAAAACCTCGCAATGATACATTACTGCGCATACTTGTCACCATAAAAACGAATAAAACAGTTGCGTACAATCCAACAGATGTACAACTTGCTGTGCGTGCGTCTTAGGTACAGAGCAAGGAGAATGGATAAGTACCTGAAGAGCTTGAAGACCGGAGAAGTTGAATTGGAGTCTTTCGCCAGACGTGAAATCAACGGAGGCGGTGGAAGAAGAGGAGGAATTACGGCGGTGCAACCTGTTCATCATCTTCTGCTTAATTATCTCTTTCATTCTCCCCAAATTGACCGAGTCTTCTGTGAGACTCTTATGTAGCAATGACTTTGGGGAGAGAGATAGATAGAGAGGGGATTAGCTGTACAAGTTGAATTTCAGTTGGAGCAGGAGTGCTGCTCCAATCAGTTTCAACACATTCGGTAACAAACCCCCCAAAGCCTTAATTTAATTACTAAATACACCATCAATTTTATCGTTTAAAATTATTTGTATATATACTTTTTTAATTTATATAAATTTAAAAATAACATTGATTATAATAAGTTTAACTGTTTAATAACAAAGTTTTCTCGTTAAATAGTTATTAATTAGTATTTAAAATCAATAACTTTAAGTGCTTAACTTTACTTTATGATTTTTTTTTATGAGAACACATCTTTCACATTTGATTTTGAAATAGTAAGCAACAAGCATATGTAAGGTGGGAAATGTTATAATCACATGTTTTTATTAGCAAAATATATAAAGTCAAATTTAAGTATGTTTTTTTATACACGAGAAGTTAAAAACATCTTTTTTTTTTTGTAAGTAAAAATCAATGTTTCCGTTCATCGCGGGTCATTACTTGATATTATTAATTTCTTTTCTTTTTTAAGAAAAAGACTTTTTGTTGTCTTTAAATAAAATGTTTATTAAATATTGGAGCAGTAAAATACTCTTTGAATTATATACAAATCAAATATTGTAGCTTTAGAACCACGAGAACGTATCAATTTAATAATATTTTAAATATTTCACTTATATAAGATATACTATTTAAATGTCTAATTTAAAAGGAATCTAAAGCATGAAATGTTACTTGATGATGGAAACAAATAAAATAGGATAATCCAGCTCTAGGGGAAAACAGTTTCTAAATATAAGAAAGAAAGTGATATATTATAGCCTGTCTTGCACATGGGACTGAGAAAGTGAAGATAGTGATTTTGGCATCACAATAGACCTTATCCTATAACGTTAAGAGTTAGGACTAAGTTTTTCTTTGTAATTTTTTTAATTATCATTTAGGACTAAGTTCTTTTAAAAGAAAGAATTACCGAACGCCTTTCAAATTTGTGGTGTGATAAAACATGAGTTTGGTTACATTACCTGGAACGGTTGAACCGCAGTTACTATTGTATTTTACCACAATAAATTTAACTATTTATTGTGGTAAAAATACAATAAATAGTTAAATTTATTGTATTTTACCATTAATGGTAAGGCCCATTAAGGGATTGGGCCCAATGTAGCAAATTGGGCCATTAGTGGGCCACTAGTGGGCTTGGGAAGCTCACCTAGTGTTGGGTCTTTTATACTATGGTTTGGGCCTTGGTTATGGACCGGGATGGACTAGGGGTAAAATGGTCATTTTACCCTAAAGAGAATTATTGAATTGGACTAAGTGATATTTTGGTATTGATAGCTCGGGGAGCCGAAGGATCAGCAATTCGGGAAGTTCCAGTTAGCAGCCAGAAGAGTTTTTAGCAGGACTTCAACAGTGCAAGGTGAGTCTCTTCACTGTGTGCATGGGTCTACGGCCACAATGCCGGCCTATTATGTTGTGTATAGTAGGAAGACCCGGGGGTTAGCCCAAGGTATTATTAAGATATATGTTCCGGATTATGATCCGAAGCCCGGGCGAGGCCCGAGGTATGTTAGTAAGCTAGTTATACATGTTGTCTGTGTGATACTGGAATGTACCTGGTAGGGAGGTGAGTGTGGGTGAGGTCCCGCATTTCATCATTAGCTGAGTATGGACGGGATTCCATGACTCATCGATAGCAGGGCAGGGGCGAGGCCCAAGTTAGGCGAGGCCTTAGATCAGGAGTATAGTAGAGTATGATTAGCTATTTGTTATGTGTTATGTTATACGTCTGTATGTGTTTAGCGGGCGTGGCTCAGAGACAGGCGGGGCCTAAGAGAAACAGATCTGTATACCGAGCGGGGCTCGATGCCAGGCGGGGCCTGATGTCGGGCGGGACCCGATGCCGGGCAAGTCTCGATGCAGCGGGCGAGGGCCCAGTATGTGGTTATGTATGTGGTAGGTTGGGGAACTCACTAAGCTTCGTGCTTACGGTTTTCAGTTTGGTTTCAGGTACTATCGGTAGCGGAGGGAAGAGCTCGGGATGATCGCATGGCACACACCAAGAAGTTTTCAGCCTGATATGTTTACTCTGATAAAATAAATATGTTTGAAATGATACTTGTTTTCATATAAGGATTTATGTATGACTTGAATATAATTGATTAATGATTTTTAAAACGAAATTTTTGGTCATGATTTTTGGGATGTTACAGTAACGATGCTAAAACTGTTGAAATTTGAATAGGATGCCGAATGAATAAAGACAAACATGTAATAGTATTTAGGACCTTATGTGTTTACGTTGTAACATATGTAGGGTATTAGTTATGACATCCTTAGTGTTTTGGTATTTTGAAACAATATTTGTTATCTCAAAATGTTTTATTAAACTGAGATTTTCCGTAAAAAAGACATCATGATGTCTAAAACATAAAGAAAAAAAATTATTTGGTTATGAAAAGTAGGGATGTTACACGGTTTTTACCCGGAACCGGCCGAACCAAACTGGTTAAAAAACCAGACCGGATTTGATCAATTCATAAAACCGAGAACCGACCCAATTCTAAAAAAAGGTCAAGGTCCAAGTCCGGTTTTATGTTAGGTCTGGTCAACGGGTCTAAATATCCCTAAAATGGATCAATCCATAAAAAAATCAAGTTTGGTAGAGAGTAAATTCAAAAACCAAATTTGACAGAGAATAAATTCACAACTAATATCTATTCCAAATCATTGGTGTAAGGTAAAAAAAATTAAATTTAAACCAAAAAAATTCAAAAATCATATAGATATTTTTATAGTTTTGTCACTTATTTAAAATTTTATATTTTTTGCCACATTTAATTTTTATTTTATAGAATATAACCAACACTTTTAAAAGTTTTTTTAAACTTAACTATTTTATTTTTATTTTTATGAAATAGTTTATAAAATCAATGCAATTTATCATTTCTAAACATACATAAAGTGACAAAAAATATAAAATACTAAAATTTATTACATATATGATTATAAAATTAACATATGATAAAAAATATTATATAATCATAATGTTTTTTAGTATTTGAATGTTTTGACAAATACATTTTTAATAATATATTTATCTATAAATAATATTTATATTTATTTTATAATATAGATTAAATAATAAAAATAATAAAATTATAGTATTGATTAGATGGTAGATGAACGGGACAAAATATAAAATAATAACTATTCAAATAACTTTTTGTAGTTATATAGGTGGTTGAAGACAAAAAAAATTCTTTTAACAAAAAAATTGTATTGACAAAATATAAAAGAACAAGATAAAACTGCAAAATTGGTCCTTATGTTAGTTAAAAATTGTGGATAAGGTCCAAATTTTTTTCAACTTGCACCATTAGTCCAAAATAAGATCTTTTTTGTGGATTTGGTCCCTGATAAGTTTGAAATGACTATTATACCCTTCTAATTTCTTTTTTATTTTTATTAATCTTTATTTTAATATTCATAAAATTAAAAATATATATTAGCCCCACAAAGCCCACACCTTCTCTTTAACAATCGACTCCTTCATCTTCTCCATCTTTTCTCTTACGTTTCCAGCCTGTAAACCAACCAGCAACACCGCTGCCCTTCTTTCCGGTAAGTACTTCACCCTTCTACTCTGTCGGTCTCCTCCCTCCTCGATTCTTTCCTTCTACAGTTCTTGAAGTTACTTTCCATATTGTCATGAATTCTTTTTTTTCATTCGTTTCCTTCTTTCTAGAAGCACACCTGAGCAAAATTGACTTCATTTTGTCCATCTTTGATTCCATACAGGTTGGTTGATTCACTTATGTTCTTCAATTGATTCACAGGTTCATTGATTCACTTTTGTTCTTCACTCACCTTCTCCATCGCAATCATCAATGGATCAAGATCGTCATTCAATTTGCAACGGTGAGGAAATAGGTTTCTGGTGTGTAACCTCACGACCGTCAGCAAGGTGGGAACTGAGCATTGGACGCGGGGAGGGAGTTTAAAATGGTTTTCCGGTCACTGACCTGGTGGAGCAGGCTTGACCTAGTGCTATAGAATCGGGGAATAAAACACAAACACAGTCACACACTAAATTAAAAAACCTAGATATTGAAATGCTGCTTCACCCTTAACAGGTTTTCTTTGTTCTTGCTCCATTTTTTTCCAACAAAAAACAATATTGAGAAGAAAGAACATTACAAGAGGTCTTGATGATGATATCTTGGGATAAAGGAAAGAGGGATGAGAACTGGCTGAAGGGTAATTCTGGTTTATCAGAGTTTGTATGTGTGTGTTTGTTGAGAGAGAGAGAGAGAGAGAGAGAGATGTATATGTGTGTGTGTGTGTTCGTATGTTTGTTGAATCTGCATCAAATTTTCCCAGAACTTCATTGATGAAGTTCATCCATGTATGTATGTGAATTAAATCAGTAAGGGAGGTGGGTGTTATCGGTGTATGGGGTGGGAGAGGTGGATAATATTTTCTTTTTGTTTTTTTTCAATTACTTAATTATTAGAATACATAAAAAATGGAAAAAACAAATTAAAAGCGCAAAATAGTCATTCTAAGTAATTTTAAACTTTTCAGGGACCAAAACCACAAAAAGTTTCAGTTTTTGGACTAACGGTGCAAGTTGAAAAGTTTTTGGATTACATCCACATTTTTTTACAAACCACAGGACCAATTTTGCAGATTAGTCAAAGAATAACTATTCAAATAGTGTTGGACTCTTGGTACAAAAACAAGTCAAAATCATAAAAGGGGTATACTGTATGACCGTATATGGAGCCATGGAGGTCCATATGCTCATTGAAAGAAAGATGAAGCGAACGGCAAGAGCAAGCTCTACGTGCGATGCCTATGGTACTCAAGAGCAAGAAGACAGACTCAGTTTATTGCCGGATGCTCTTTTAATCTACATACTCTCTTTTGTCGACACCAAATTAGCAGTTCAATCTTCAATCTTGTCCAAACGATGGGTAAATCTTTGGACCTTGCTCCCTGTTCTCAATTTCGATTCTTCCTTTTTCCAAGAGGAGCAAAGGTATACCCTAGATAACTTCGTATACAAGGTTACTTTCGATAATTTCGTCGAAAAGGTTTTAGCTAGTCGTAATGGAGCAATCAAGATTGATAGTGTTAATATTAAGGTTACCGATCATAAAATCATGGCTAGGGTCTTTCGTTATGCCTTGTCGCAGGGTGTTCCCAATGTGAGCATCGATACTTCCCAAAACCTAAGTAAATATCATCCCGTTTCATGCGTTAACTCCAGTGATTCCTTGATGAATTTGACACTAAAAGGGATGCTGAATTTTGGAAAATTTCCCAACTTTTCTGGGTTGATTAGTTTGCGACTTGAACGGGTTAAGATAGTTGAATCCGAACCCTTTTCCTGTTTCCCCAATTTGGAAGAGTTGTTTCTGGTGAACTGTAAGCTTCCGTCTGAATTGCCTGTTCTTGAAGTGATTGCTTTCCAGCTGTCAAGATTGACAATCTCCTCGTGTTTTTATCCTATTCCTTATTGAAAACTTGTGCTTTTGACTCCAAAACTTATGTCACTTGAGCTTGGTGGCCTTATTCCCATGTCATTCGAGGCTTCTGAGCTTCCTCTTCTCGAAACAATACATATCGATTGCTGTTTTTCATTTCCACGAGCTTTTGATAGAAGTGTTCATCAGCCTGATGAGAAACAACAGAAGCTTAATCTCATCAATATCCTTCGGTGCCTCAGAACTGCTAAATCTGTTCATCTGACCCCCTCTACTGTTAAGGTACTGTTATACCTCCACTAATTTAATGCTGTTTCAGATAATTTTTCATCTTTTTGCTCTCATTTTGTTTTCTTGTTGTATCTTTTTTTGGGTTTTACAGCTTCTCTCGATATCTCATGGCATGCTTGTTCAAGAACATTGCTCATTTGGGAATCTAAAGGTTTTGAACCTTATCCCACCACCAAACAAACCCATGGCTGAACTTCATTCTTCTGTGACTGCCTATTTGCTCAAAGATTCTCCACAAGCTGTTGTCAAGGCGGAGCCCAGGTATATTTTATTTTTCCCTAAAACGATGAAAGTATGTTGAGCTTTTCTATATTTTGCACTCTTTTCATTTTCCTTTCATCATCACTTCTCGTAGTCTCATTGTTGTTGTGAATGGTGTATAGGTGGTGATAAAAGATGGAGGATGCAGCATGCTCAATTTTTCAATCTATGGTGGTATGCTGTTAGATATGTTAGAGGAAGTTAATATAATACATGTGTGAATTGTGACGTGTTTTCAACAAAATTCTATATTGGATTTTCTGATATGGGGAATGTTGTGAATCTGAAATCACTTTCTTTTCTGTAGACCAGTTTATGAAGATTTTAGTTTCTTGATAAGTGTTGACTTTTGACGTAGTTAGAACTTGTTACAGAAGTTGCTTGGATCATGTTGTATTCTTACAAAAGCAATGCAAATTTTAAGATTATTGTCGAAGCAAAAATCATTCTAATTCTTTATGTAGTTTGATTTAAACTGAATAATACATGATATCATAACAACCATATGGCTGTGACTGATAAATTACTTGTTTAAATTTAATTAATTTTTTTTTTTTTAAATTGAGAAAGCATCATGGTAGTAAATGCCCTTTGGTAAATCGTAATCATCTAACTAGTAAATGTTTAACCTTTTATTAACCACACATACACAGTCTAACCAAAATTATTATATGATAATTTAAACATTTTATGTCTTTAATAGTTTAACTAACTTTAATAGAACTATTTGTCGACATGATTTAATTTTTATTTATTAAAAAATGGGAGAAACGATGGTGAATTTGGTATATAAAGAATTTGGAGTAGGTTTATACAAACTTGTATTTAAATAAGAATACATATTAAATACATCTCAACATGTGTTTAAGAAAACCCTATATATGTATGCATTAAGCTTTTTAATGTTTCTTTTAGAGGGATTTGAACGAGATCTATTAAAATATGTACTATTAAAACAAAATAATAATAAGAAAAAAAAGACCAAATAGGTTAATTTTATTTAACTTTCCAAGAAATCATAAAAAATTAGTCAAATATCTAATTTAAACCGCCTGATATTACAATTAGTAGTCCATGTTCTTAAAAATAATTCATGCTAACTTAATCTTCGAGTTTGACTCAATAAAATCTTATTCAGTCATCGACTACCAAACAACTTTTAAAACAGTCTTTAATTTTAGATGACATTATGAAATCATTAAATTGGGTGAAAAATCATATGATTGAGACGAGCCAATTATGTTTTGGCTATGAAATAGGTTGCAAAATGGATATTATGTATATAATACTTTTTTTGGCTTCATTTTTAGTGGGTGTTGGGATTTCTTCTTAAATTCACTTATTAATTTATGACTTTTTAAAAAACCAACAAATTAAAAATATATTTATCTTCTTGAAAAGTTAAGAAAATTGAGGTTAAAAATGACATTTTTAGAAAAGTTATAACTCAATAAGTTATTTTTGGATATATTACACGAACGGTCCCTATGATTTAGGGTAATTTGCACGTTTAGTCCTTAACTTATTTTTTTAACTCGGAAGGTTCCTACTGTTTGTTTTTATTACACGCTTGGTCCCTGTCTTACCTAAAAAACTATTTAACCCTTGATTTTTTAAAATATTTAAATAAACACACCCCAACCCCAACCCCCCTCACCGTATCTTACCTATCATATATTTTTTTACTATTTAAATAATAGTCTTTTTAGATAAGACAGGGACCAATCACGTAACAAAAACAAAAAGTAGGGACCAAACGCGTAACAAAAACAAACAGTAGGAACTTTCCGAGTTAAAAAAATAAATTAGGGACCAAACGCGCAAATTATCCCAAACCATAGGGACCATTCGTGTAATTTACTCTAATCTTTAACTAATTAATTTATTGACTTTTCTATCTTTAAAAACTAAAGAGAAATTAAATATCCTTTTACATTTTCTTACTACTTATATTCCTACCTATGTAAAATAATGTGTCATATTTACATATATTTTTCTTTCTAATTATCTTTTACCTAGTTGAAATGATAACAAGCGTCCAAAAATATAATTAATTTTATCAAAATATGACACATGTGATCGTAGAAAAATATATAGGAAGAAAAGCCAGAAGCTAACGTTGACAACAGGATATTTAATTTCTCAAACTAAAAGGTAAATACCTTTGTATAGACATAGACATCCCCAAACACATCTAACGTATTTAAATGCAAAACTTTTCTAACGTATTCATTCTGATATTCTGTTGACGGAACGTCAAAACCCTAAACCTTCATCGTCAAATCGGCTGTTTGCCTCTTCTCGACGACAATGGCTGTAAGTAACAATCCTCGAACTTCTGAATTCAGTATCTCTTTTTTTCCTTCTATTTCGTTCTTGTATAAAGATAATTAGACTGTTTCCAGTCTTTGAGTAGATCGTTATCGTCTTCTTATCGCTCAAGTAGGATAGATTTGCTAGTTTGAAGAGATTAAAGGCTAATTAAAGTGTTTGAATCTCTAGGAGTCAGTTTATGCTTATAAACCAGACTTTGTGGTTAAATGGGGGCGGATTTATCATTTTGGGTTGCTCATATACGCTCGAAATATAAGGCTCGAGTGGGGAGTCATGTCATTTGTGTAAAACATTGACAAAAGTTTATCGGGTAATTGGGGTTTTTTTTGACATTTTGTGCAGCAGTTATTTGCGCATTATGTACATCTGATTCAACTTTATCGCTCAGTTGTTTCTGATTGTAGGGTTATAGTTAGCATGTAGTTTTTTCATTTTACTCTGACTGGCATCTGATGAACTATCACCATCAGCATCTAAGTTTGTGGAGAAAATTGTTATTTTTTTTTTTGCTGAAGCTTGGATTGGGTTTAAAAGAAATTCTTTTGATTCTTGAACAGTTTGCAGATGATTTACTTTTCTGAATGTATAGTTTTGTGATAGTAACTTAGTTGCTTATGCATTGCAGACTGTACCAGTTAATCCGAAACCTTTCTTGAACAACTTGACTGGGAAGCCTGTGATTGTGAAGCTCAAGTGGGGAATGGAGTACAAAGGTTATCTTGTCTCTGTTGATTCATACATGAACTTGCAGGTATATATGCTATGCTATGATTAAACTTTTGTTTGAACCTGTTCTGTTCATGTGTGCATTTTTGTGCCTCTAATGTTTGTTCAATGGCATCATCTTATTTCCCAGTTGGCCAACTCTGAAGAATACATTGATGGGCAGTTTACTGGTAACCTTGGAGAGATCTTAATCAGGTATGCAGACAGATGTAATAATGTTCTATTTTTAAATTTTTGATGGATTTTTTGTGCATAGATTCTTGGCTAAAAAATTTTTTGTTTGATATGCAGATGTAATAATGTTCTGTATTTACGAGGTGTACCAGAGGATGAAGAAATAGAGGAAGCAGATCGTGATTAGCAAGCATGTGGATATGGCTCATGTCTTTTGATTTATCTGTTTTATTATAATTTCTTCTGTTTTTGTATGGAAATACATGTAGATGTTAATTGTTATTCTCCAAATTAAACTCAATCTAAAAAGCCTCAACTTTTAATTCCGTGGAATGTGGATCCATCATCCATTCTAGACCATGTTCGGTCTGAATATATCAGATAATGTTGCACAAATCATTAAAAAAAAATCCACGTTTTTGTATATGTTGAGAAAAGAAATTAAATATTGTTGCATAAATAAATATTTAACCCTTTTTAATGTTGTTTGATCATAAGTATATTATAACCTAGGTTGTATGTTAAAATACAACAATTTAAAAATTAACAAAGAAAATACATAAGCCATGTAAATGTTACTATAAACATATTGTATTTTTACATAGTTCAATTTGTATGTCCCAATACTAGATTCGTCTGAAATCCACAATGCCGGCGATGAAAATATGTTTATAATCCTTCATGACTATAAAAACAAAAATTTAAGAGGGTATAAAGATGAATAATTTATAAAACGAGTGAATGGGTATTTTATAAAGTGCAGTTTATATTTTTACATACTACTCGTATTTAACTATTTATAACAACACAAAAGAAATTCTTTTGCAACGAAAGATAGTTTTTAAGAGCTACAGTTTTGAAAACAAATCGTTTGTCCAAAAATGCAATTTTAGATTCGATAATGTATTCCAAAAATATAAATAGTATACCTTACAAGCATAACCTTCTTTTCAGTGATCTAAAAGAAACCATGACAATCATCTTTCAAGAAATCCGTCAACATTTGCTAAATTCTCATATGTCCTAACTCTCAAGATTAGTCATGTAATCTCATTTCATGTTTTTAACAACAATATTCTCATTTTTCATTCATTTCAGATCATTACTGCGGTTATTGTTCATCCTGGTTTTACAATGAGATGTTTGATTGATGTACCTAGATATAGAAAATAATCCATTGTACTTTGGAATAATCTTTTATTACAGCTTTATACTTCAAAAATGCAAAAATTAGCAAAAAAAAAAAAACACTTTTTACAAATTTTCCCTCATTTACATTTTCCTTCCAATCCTCATATGAAATGAATCACTAATCTTCCTTCTACATTTACACATTATCAGACACATAATATGGGGATTTCGGTGCAATCAGAACACAGTGCATCTACAGTGTCATGCATGTGGAGGAATGATGTTGGAAAATAGAGGGTTTGTAGTGGAGATCTGGATGCCAACTTGGATTGTGAGAACACTTTCCGAACTGATACTTCTACCCTATGCCTGGGTTGCAAGAAATTCAGCCTAGGATAATCCAAGTGGACACTTACGATTCTAGGCACAGAAATCGTAAGCCAAATTGCAAAAAAAATTCTGTGAGTGTATGAAAACCGAGAGCTAATTTTCGTGTGTGTTTTCCCATACGGAAGAGTTGTTTATATAATGAACGAGATTAGGGTTTCATTAGGGTTGGGTCGTCATTAGTTGCTTTGGAAGCAAGTTAGGGTAATCCGGATTTTAATGAGGATTTAGGGTTACCAAAACTAACGAGTTTCGTTAGTTTTACCATAATCACCCTCAAGAATCTGAATTTCCCATTATGTTCCCATATGTAAAATTCAGAGAGGTGTTCGATTGAAGTAATAACTTGATTTAGTTTCATCCTTGGAGTTTATTAGTCAGATCATGATTGTTTATGTTGTAAAATGCTTAATGTTTTCCATATGTTTGCAGGCATAGGGTGTGATCGAGCATTTTGTGGTGCTTATTGTAATTCTCAATAGGTTACAAGAAGTGATTCGTTTCATATGTGTGTTTATGTAGACTTTTAAACCTGTAAGCTATTGATATTTTCTCAATGTTTATCACTTGGTTTTTTGGAAATGAAACTTGGAAGTGTTTGGTATGATGGAATCAACGAATGAATGGAATGGAATATGTCATTCAATTGGAATAAAAAAAAAAGATGTTTGCTTCGTGTGATGGAATCAAATGGAATCTACTGTACTTGCACTTACTTACTATTTGTCAAGGTGAGTTATGAAAGAATATGTTTTGGTTAATTATCTTGTAATTACTTTCATATTCATAACATTTTAACTAAATTGTAAATTCTTGTGCATTCTAATAGCCCTCCCGACCCATGCGGAGCATGGGCCTCATCACTAGTTTTTATTTATTTTACCAACCATTAATTATGTATACTAACATTTATATTATGCAATTAATTTTCATTTATGGATACTAACATTTAAATTATGCAACTAACTTTTATTATAAATACCAATGTTTATTTATGTATTTTGTTAGATATTCTTCATAATTTTATTTATAAATACCAATGTTTATTTATGCTTAATTTTATTTATGTATTTAAACATTCATATCTTTTTTAATACACCATCCGTTTTCGACTGTCTTTATATCGACAGACTCGATAAGTCGCTCCGCTTATAGAATATAATGAAGCTAGCTAGCGACTCTTATAGTAGCGAAGGAAAAGGGCATTCAGGATGTGACTAGTCTTTTTTCTGAAGGGCTTGCGGTTCATTACACCAAAGGCTTTCAGTGAACTATTGAAGCTATTAAGAGAGTACCAAATGCTGACGGTAACGAAGGGGATCAACGCGTTATTGTTGCAAGAAAAGCTCCCATCAAAATTCACTATGAATCTGTGGGGAGCTATTATGAGATTTATGGACACTATCTAATAGTACAAAGTATAAAAAATAAATTTTATATATATATATATATATATATATATATATATATATATATATATATATATATATTCGAGCCATGTCTGATGAAAGAGCCACCTGCTGACCTGGTGTTGACGAACAAGTTCCGGAAGCATGCGAACAAGACTTGGGATCGCGGCTCGTACCAGTAAAGCCACATAAATCAAGAAGGCGCACAAAGGAAGGCAGTAGCACTAGCTTGATAATTTGTTACGAGAGCTCTTTGCAACATTCCTTTCAATGGGATATCATGGACGCGAGTCTGAATTTATTTATTCAGGATATAAACCAAAGCGGTAGAAATTCACAAATATATCGTGAATTCTACTCCCACTTTACCGACGAGGGATTCCTCCTCAAGTTACCTGCCATTTAGATTGTTTCGGCTAATAATCAACCGGTCTAAAATTCGATTTCTGTGCTAACACAACTATGCTGAAACTTCGAAAAATCATAACTTCCTCATATGAAGTCAGATTTGGACGTTCTCTATATGCACGCTCTCAGTTTTACGATTACTACGATTTTCGTTTAGATTACTTAAGCTTATAAGCAACCTATCTCCGATTCATTATTACGACGCTTGATGCCGTATTGGGTTAAACGCGAAACTTCAAATGATCATAACTTCCTCATACAAAGTTAGTTTTTAGCGTTCCTTATATCACCGGCCAGAATCCTCATTACGACTACTTCAACTTTTATCAAGACTATTTATCCTAATTAATATTTTATTTTAATATTTGTTTTAGCCCTATTTATTAAGTTTCCACTTAATATGATATACACATAATCACATAAATTTAAATGATTTCTTATTATTTATTCATCAAATGATTACAATTGTTGACCAACGTTGGTTACATATTCTATTAGTGTCTAGTGATAAACGCGGACGTTACAATACTTCATTTTGTGACATAGTAGGATCCTTAAAATAAGATGCCTTATAATTTTACTTGTAGATGTTTAAAGCAAGAAATTGCATGAAAAAGTAGTATATTCGCAAGGAGACTCATGAACGGTATATTCATAATTACATTTGTCCAATGTTATTGTGAATTCATAAATACATGTAATGTGTATGCTTATCGTATTATGTTGATACAATTATATAGATATTCAATAGTGGTAACTATGATGTAGTAATAACCATATTGATAATGGTCAATATTTGTTGGAAAATATAGGAGAATCAATTTAGAAGTTTATCCAACTTTGGAGAATAAACTAAAGAGTTATGTAAGTTCTTGGGAGACTAGGGGTGGCAATCCCAACTCGAACCCACCAATCCAACCCGAGCCCAACCCAATAAAAAGCAGGTTGGGTTAAGATTTTGAACTCGTTTAATTAAATGAGCCAACCCATTTAACCCGTTTAATTAAATGGGTTGGGTTACGGTTGAAATTCCTAACCCGTTTACAACCCGCCAACTCGTTTAATATTTTTAAATATTTTTTAATTTGTATTTAAATATTATTATTATTTAGTTGATCATTATATTTTGATTATTTGTTATTTATCAAACACCACCGTTCTTGGAATTCAAGTTGGTAAAAATGATAGTCGAGTAGCGTAGAATTTAGAAATTAAACATATATAATGTTTTATGGTTGTAAACACTTGATTTGTGTTTCTGTTATGGGTCTATAAATTTATTGTTGAATTATTTTCAAACTTGAACAATTATTATATCTTTTAAATTGTATGTAATTTTATTTGATGAATTATTTGATTTTTAAGAGATTTTTGTGAAAATTTAAACGGGTCAACCCGAGTTTATCATGTTTACTAAATAGACTGGGTTGGGAAAACAATAAACATGTCAACCCGATTTCAACCCATTTACTAAAAAGGTTGAGTTGGGTTGGGAATTCTCAACACTTTTACTTAAATAGGTTGGGTTGGGTAGAGATTTTCAACCCATTTAGTTAAACAGGTCAACCCGTTTATGACCCAACCCAACCCATTACCACCCCTATGGGAGACGTCCCATAATGAGCCAATATATCATATATGTTCACATGGTGATGTAAATAATGGTGAGTCTAGACTTATTTTGTCAAAGACATAACACCGTTCAAACAACGACTCTCATGATGAATTATCTTTAATGACTACATAAAGTTAAAATAAGATTACAGATCCGCAACTCTCAAGATGAATTATCTTTAATGACTACATAAAGTCAAAATAAGATTATAGATCCGCTAAAGAAATGCTTGAAATGAGAGGTCGTTACTTGCGATTCCACCAGATCTACCCATCGGATTAACAGATGTTACTTCAAAATCGACATTGCCCCAGGCCCTAATGAAGTCTATGTTGTTGGAGTTTGCTACCCATGTCTCTTGTAAACCAATGAACTCAACCCGTTGTGAGTTTTTTAGCTTTCTAATCCATTCGATTTTATGTGATTCCCCACACCCCCTAATATTTAAACATAAGCAATTGATTGAGGAATATTATCAACTCCATCACCATTGCCAACCACATCCATGACAACCGGGTCTTGAGTTGTAACTTGAGATCCCATTTCTTTGCTGATTCGAAGTAGATTGGAGATCTCATTGAATGAGGTGTCATCATCTTTGACACCATTAGCGCTATATGGACCATTGAATGAGGCAGATCGATTTAGATCTAGCATAGGGGCATACACAATGAGTTTGACAATCGATGGGCCGGTAACAGAAGGCAGAGGAGGCCAGTCCTCGAAATCCAGGGATCTTTGTGTCGGGTCCGATGAGCATCGTGAGATTGGTTTGAGTATTGTTCGTCTCTTATCTAGTGATTCACATTTTGCAATGACATTATGAAATCATTAAATTGGGTGAAAAACCATAAATGAAGTGAGGGAAATTTGTTTTGATTTGCTAAAAAGTCTTATTGGACTATGAAATAGGTTGCAAAATGGATGTTATATATATATATATATATATATATATATATATATATATATATATATATAGAGAGAGAGAGAGAGAGAGAGAGAGAGAGAGAGAGAGAGAGAGAGAGAGAGAGAGAGAGAAGTAAGTTCAAATAAAAACAGTAAATAATGTGAGAACGTAAAAACACTATGTTTATGTTATTATTCTGTAATGAATTTTGTATATGTGTATTGTTGAAGTAATTCTAATATAAATATTAACTTTCGATTAGTCATATATTCATTATAATGTTATTATTCTATTATAAACTTATATATGTGCATTTTTGTAGTAAATTTTAATTTTAATTTTAACCTTTAACTATTCATTTATTCTTTGCTGAATAATGACATAAAATTGTCGATACAAAATTCATTACAGAATAATAACATAAAAAAGTGTTTTTACGTTCTCACACTATTTACTGTTTTTATTTGAACTGTCCCTTTTTTATATATATATATATATATATATATATATATATATATATATAACATTTTTGTTTTTGCATCTTTCTGGTTCATTTTTATATCAATTAGGATGAAACCCCATCAAAAAATAGCTCCATTTTTATACCTTTAAATTTTTTTTTTTTTTTTTTTTTTTTTTTTTTTTTTTTTTTTTTGAAATGTTATTTAGAAATCGTTACCATAAGAAAACATCTAAAAATGTTTTATTTTTTGAATTTTCTTTTATTAGATTTGTAAAACTCTTTGATTTTTTTTTATCTATATATTTACAAGTCAAAATAACAACATAAAAGTTTTTTTTATATGAAAATAGTTTTTGAAGATTTTATAATAAAAAAATTTTAAAACTGATATTTTTTTATTTAATTTTTTTGTTGGTAAAACGTATATTTTCATATATTGTTATTTAGAGGGTGTTTGACTTATCTTTTTGAGAGACAAAAGTCATTTTTGAAAAAGTTACAAAAAATCAGGTTTTCCTGTTTTGGAAACGTCAGTTTTTCTTATATCAAAAATCCAAAATAGCTTTTAAAATCCTTTTACCAAACATCTTTTACATTTTATCTTTTCCAAAAAAGACTTTTGCCTCTCAAAAAGATAAGCCAAACACCGCCTTAGATTTTTTTTTTTATTATTTTTTGGGTTATTTTCATAAAAGACCCTATATTTTGATTTTTTTTCTTTTTAGACCTAAAACTTTTTTCTTTTCCGAAAAAGACCTAACTTTTAGCTTTGACTTGTTATTTTAGACCCTAACAAGTAAATTAAGTATTTTTATTTCATAAAAGACCCTATATTTTATACTTTTTTCCAATCTAGACCTAAAATGTTTTTTATTTCAAGACTAATTGTATAAAAACATGATTATATCCTTTTAGTTTAAAAATAGACATCGATTTAAACAAAGTAATTATTATGCCTACATTTATTTATGATTGGAAAATTCTTTTTCCACGTATATTTATAAAAAAAAGACCCTATATTTTGTTACTTTTTTCCATTTTAGACCTAAAATGTTTTTTTTTTTCAAAATAAACTCAACTTTAAAATTGGTTATAATCTTCAAGACCAAATATATAAGGTACTTCTTGACTATACTGAAAAAGAAAGTATACATGTATACACAAAAAAATGTTATCTGATCTATTATCTTTTGAGCGAATATAACCTAGAAGAATTACAAAATTTTATTTTTTTCTAAAAGATATAATTAAACTTTATCTTGGATATATATATATATATATATATATATATATATATATATATATATATATATCATTAAACTTGATATATTGTTTATAAAAAATGTTATTATTACCGCTAATAAAAAGTTCGATGTTAATTTGATGTTTTTTGGTAACATAGACAATACATGGCTAAGATGAATCTTTTAGCATAATAACAACTTTTTATTTGTAGAAAAAAACAACATACCATGTAATTTAATAAACTGTATACAAAATAAGATTTTGCAATTTTAAACAAAACTTGAATTTGATATATCTAAACAAAACTATTATGAATGTTTAGGATTAATATTTTTATGTATGTATTTGATATAGTTATACCATATTATTCAATAACGGGCTAATGTTACAAAATATTCTATGGATTTGGTTTAGGAGTATGATAGTTAGTTCGTTTGTTAACTGTTCCAAAAAAAATTGATTAAAAAATTCAACCAAAAAAATAATATAGAAAAGTGAGAGAGGGAAATATGTCCAAACTCACGAAATAAGTATAATAGACAAACTAAAAAAAAATATTTTGTATACAGTTTTGTTAAATTACCTGGTATGTTTATTTCCTACAAATAAAAAAAAATGTTATTATGCTAAAAGATTCTTCCTAGCCATGTATTATTCATGTTACAAAAAAATATCAAATTAACATCGAACTTTTTATTAGCAGTAATAATAACATTTTTTATAAATAATATATCAAGTTTAATGATATAATATATATCCAAGATATATCTTTTAGACAAAAATAAAATTTTGCAATTCTTCTAGGTTATATTCGTTCAAAAGATAATAGATCAGATAATATTTTTTAGTGTATACATGTGTACTTTCTTTTTCGGCGTAATAAAAAAGTACCTTATATATTTGGTCTTGAAGATTATAACCAATTTTAAAGTTAAGTTTATTTTGAAAAAAAAAACATTTTAGGTCTAAAACGGAAAAAACTACAAAATATAGGGTCTTTTTTTATAAATATACATGGACAAAGAATTTTACAATCATAAATAAATGTAGGCATAATAATTATATTGTTTAAATCGATGTATATTTTTAAACTAAAAGGATATAATCACGTTTTTTATACAACTAGTCTTGAAATAAAAAACATTTTAGGTCTAAACTGGAAAAAAGTACAAAATGTTGGGTCTTTTATGAAATAAAAATACTTAATTTACCTATTAGGGTCTAAAGTAACAAGTAAAAGGTAAAAGTTTGGTCTTTTTCGGAAAAGAAAAAACTTTTAGGTCTAAAAAGAAAAAAAATCAAAATGTAGGGTCTTTTATGAAAATAACCTTATTTTTTCTTAAAACGTAGGCGTACACACTACACACATCTGCAAAACTTTTCTAACGTATTTATTCTGATATTCTGTTGACGGAACGTCAAAACCCTAAACCTTCATCGTCAAATCGGCTGTTTGCCTCTTCTCGACGACAATGGCTGTAAGTAACAATCCTCGAACTTCTGAATTCAGTATCTCTTTTTTTCCTTCTATTTCGTTCTTGTATAAAGATAATTAGACTGTTTCCAGTCTTTGAGTAGATCGTTATCGTCTTCTTATCGCTCAAGTAGGATAGATTTGCTAGTTTGAAGAGATTAAGGCTAATTAAAGTGTTTGAATCTCTAGGAGTCAGTTTATGCTTATAAACCAGACTTTGTGGTTAAATGGGGGCGGATTTATCATTTTGGGTTGCTCATATACGCTCGAAATATAAGGCTCGAGTGGGGAGTCATGTCATTTGTGTAAAACATTGACAAAAGTTTATCGGGTAATTGGGGTTTTTTTTGACATTCTGTGCAGCAGTTATTTGCGCATTATGTACATCTGATTCAACTTTATCGCTCAGTTGTTTCTGATTGTAGGGTTATAGTTAGCATGTAGTTTTTTCATTTTACTCTGACTGGCATCTGATGAACTATCACCATCAGCATCTAAGTTTGTGGAGAAAATTGTTATTTTTTTGCTGAAGCTTGGATTGGGTTTAAAAGAAATTCTTTTGATTCTTGAACAGTTTGCAGATGATTTACTTTTCTGAATGTATAGTTTTGTGATAGTAACTTAGTTGCTTATGCATTGCAGACTGTACCAGTTAATCCGAAACCTTTCTTGAACAACTTGACTGGGAAGCCTGTGATTGTGAAGCTCAAGTGGGGAATGGAGTACAAAGGTTATCTTGTCTCTGTTGATTCATACATGAACTTGCAGGTATATATACTATGCTATGATTAAACTTTTGTTTGAACCTGTTCTGTTCATGTGTGCATTTTTGTGCTTCTAATGTTGTTCAATGGCATCATCTTATTTCCCAGTTGGCCAACTCTGAAGAATACATTGATGGGCAGTTTACTGGTAACCTTGGAGAGATCTTAATCAGGTATGCAGACAGATGTAATAATGTTATGTTTTCTGCATAGATTCTTGGCTAAAAAGATTTGTGTTTGATATGCAGATGTAATAATGTTCTGTATTTACGAGGTGTACCAGAGGATGAAGAAATAGAGGAAGCAGATCGTGATTAGCAAGCAGGTGGAATGGATGGCCCATGTCTTAGATCATTAGATGTATTGGTTTTTATTTTAATTTCTGTTTTTGTATGGAAATATTTTGTGCTCCATATCACAATTTAATGTCTCAAACTTTTAATTAGGTGGATGTGGGTGGATCCATGAATATATCAGACAATGTTTCACAAATCATTACAAAAGAAAGAACAAATTACTGAAATCTTCCTGTGTGGTTTGCTGAAATTGTGTGTTTGGTCCCTAAGTTTTGTTTTGCACTCGGACCGTCTCTATTGTTTGGTTTCGTTTCGAGTTTGGTCCCTGCCATGCCTGAAATGACAATTATACCCTTATATATTTACTTTATAATTTACTTATATCTTTTATTTATTATTTCATTTATAAGGTCCAAAGATCTTATGCCGCCTCCATCCTTCCTTGTTCTAAGAACCGACAACAACAAAAGTTACCACCCACGTCAACTTCACCTCCGTCGGCCACCACCGGTACTAAATCAAAATCAAACCAAATCAAAAGCTGATAATCAAGGGCACAAATCTATTAGAACACTAATGGCAAGGTTATACAGAAAATCAAACACAAAAACTTCAAATAAATGGAACATATCTATTAGAACACACCCACTACGTTCTCTTTCCCCACAGGCACCACCTCCTACATCATTGACGACCACCACAACCAACACCACTAACATCAACCATCGTCAACACTAGAATCCCAAGAACTCCAGAAAAATGCACAATAACTATTCTAATAATTCAAGGAATAAATGCATAAGAACAATGACAAAAGTCTATAAATCTCTGAAATATACATTAAGAACAATCCCATAAGAATTTTGTTTCTGTAAATCCAACAAGAAAGAAGGTATGTATATAAATATATAAATCGTCTTCAAACACAAATCCTAAAATCAAACCTGAAATCAACTATAATCAGACTTAGAATCCTTAAACATATGAAATGAGTTTGTTAACCCTAGTGGTGATTTAGGGCTTAGACTTTGATTCATCAGATGACGGACATTAACTCTTCGAATGATGGGATTGCCTGACATTGGCATTGACATTGATAGTGGCGATATAGGGCATGGAAGAACGCAACGAGAAGAAGGAAGAGGTGATTCCACCAGAGGTCATTTAGGGCTTGGACTTTAACTTGTGAGACGAATGGCGGTGGCGATTTAGCAGCTCTGATGACAGAGAGTGACGAGGAAGACGACGTTGGGGAGAAGGCAGAGGTGGTCATCGGGTGCCAGAGCATTTTACTGGAGAAGGAAGCGATAAGCGGTGGTGATCGTGGGGTTGCAGGTTGATTCCAGGGCGTCTAGACAACTACATAGATTAAGGTAGGATGAGAGGGGGTTGGGGGTGGGTGTTTGGTGGAGGCACAAAGACTTCTATTTTTTATAAATAAAGATAATAATAAAATGAAAAATAAAATACAAAGGGCAATATAGTCTTTTTTATCTCTATGAGGGACGAAAAACACAATAATAACAAATGTCAGGGATGGTACGAGTGAAAAAAAAAACTTAGGGACCAAACGTGCAATTTTAGCAAACCATAGGGACGATTACAATAATTTGTTCAAAAAGGAAATCCACATTTTTGTACAAAGTGAAAAAAAAAATCAAATATTGTTGCATAAATAAATATTTAACCCTTTTTAATGTGTTTGATCATTAATATATTACAACTTAGGTTATATGTTAAAATACAACAATTTAAAATTTAACAAAGAAAATACTTAAGCCATGTAAATTTTACTATAAACTTAGGGGGATGAAAATATGTTCAATTTGTATGTAACCCATTACTAGATTCGTGTGAAATCCACAATGCCGGCGATGAAAATATGTTCTTGATCCTTCACCGCTATAAAAACCAAAATCCATGACGATGAATAATTTACAAAACGAGTGAGTGGGTATTTAATAAAGTGCACTTTTTATTTTTACTTAATAATCGTTGTATTTAACTATTTATTTATAATAACACAAAATAAATTCTTTTGCAACAAAGAGAGTTTTTAAGAGCTACAGTTTTGAAAACTCATCATTTTTCCAAAAATGCAATTTTAGATTCGATAATGTATTCCAAAAATATAAATAGTATACCTTACAAGCGTAACCTTATTTTCAGTGATCTAAAACAAACCATGATAATCAATTTTCGAGAAATCCCGTCAAGTTTAGAATAAAATCTCTTATCTTCAAGGTCGCCCCTCTTCCTGTGTATATTGAATATGCAACATTTTCAACGATTCTCCTACGCCAAATCACATGAGGTGGAACTATTCTCTCACCTCTTTCATCATCTTCTTCAAATAAATCAGAATCATCTACCGATTCTTCATATTCATGTAAGTTTAATTTATTTTCTGGAATGTTAATTGGAATTGAAGATTTCCTCTTTTTCTTCTGTTTTCTCTTTAACTCGTTACCTTGACGTATGTCAACGTTGTAATGATTATCTTGTTTGCTTTGTACCGCAACTTCCACAAATATTACCTCCGATTCTTCAAATTCTTCACCCATCACTTGGGTACGGAGACATCTCAAAGATGTTGGGAAACCAATGGAATTTATATGCGAAGCAAAATGAATCGTACAAGGCACACTGTGTCATTGATGTATGGGTTTGTTCTTCAAAGTCTTCTTTTGTCATTTGTAAATATCTTTAGATTTAATTAAAACAAAGTCTTTACCCTATCGTGTCTTGTTGCATACATCTTTGTCAAAGAATTTTGGGGGTATTCAATAGTTTAAATGAGATGGACATTTTCCTAAGTCATATATATATATATATATATATATATATATATATATATATATATATATATATAGAGAGAGAGAGAGAGAGAGAGAGAGAGAGAGAGAGAGAGAGAGAGAGAGAGAGCTAGGTTCATTTGTTTAAAGTAAGTATTGTGTTATTGTATGCATAAATGTGGGCCAATCAAAATTAAACAAAAAATTAAATAATTAAATAAATAAATAAGAGTAATTTAGTAATTTGTTTAGTAACTTCCAAAATTAATCCCTATAATCATGGTATTGATCTAATCTCTCCAATTTAAATCTCGTTTCCGATCTGCAAAATTAGAATGGACTACAAAATCGATCTTTAGTTCTACAAAAATCGATTGCCATCGCCATCTCCAACTCCAGCACGTCGACCGACTATCATCGACGTTTTCTTTCTTTTCTTTCTGGCCCGATCAGCAGCCACACGAATGGGGAAGGCAAAGAAGATCGCTGATCTCCAAGGGGGTGTTTTAGGTGGTTTAATCGACTGAATCGGATGGAGAGGAGGGTGAAGCGAGGGCAGCAAGGGTTGATTAGCAACTCTCGGCTTACTCTCTTCTGATTCTAACAACGAGGGATGAGACCAGAAGAGGGTCCGACGACAGGTGGGGCTTCGGTGGCATTGGGTCGACGGAAGAATACGTCGTTGAAGCTCTCGACAAACGGCTTTGTCTATTCTGCCTGAAGGTTCAGGTTTCTTTATATTCTTCTACTTCTTCAGATATGGTTTGTCTCCCTTTGTTTATAAGTACCTTTTTTTTCCTCTTTGATTTTGTTGATTCAAGTTAGTTCAGTCGTAATTATATGATGGTTGTGTTTCGAGATGTCGTTCCCGTTTATCTGTATTACATTTATGTCTAATGCACTGCTTTTCGTTGGGGATTCAATTGAATTTTGGGAATTAGGGTTTTCAGAAATTTGGATTGATAGAATTTCTTCTGGAATTAGATAATGTGGATTTGTTAAAGCAATTAGATAAGTACATACTGTCTTTCATTTAGTCCTTCTGCAATCGTTATTGAGGATTAGATATGAGGACTATAGTTAGATTAAAATTATGTATAGATCTATCTCAGGTATGCTATTAGATACGTACCTCGAACAAGTACATCTTATGAATGAATTAGAACAAACAATCAAGTAAAATTAAAACCTAGTTGCTTTTTAATGGAATAAAGTGCAGGGAAGGACAGAGGAATAAAGTGAGAGAGAGTTTCTTTCTCCAGAAAAGAGAAGGAAGAACAGGGAAGGCTTTGGTTGCTTCATTTGGCAGAAAAGAGAAGGAAGAACAATGGTGATGATCTCTTCTTTGATTGGGTATGTTTCTTTTGATTGGGTTTTACTAGTTAAACAGATAAAAAAAATCAATTATCTTGATGATCTTGTTGTATAGTTGTGAATTTTGATAGATATTGAGTACATTGTGATCTAAGGGAAAGGAAACATAAACGTGTGGTACAATTCTTGAGATTGACATGAAGAAGATAAAAAGAATCATGAATTCCAATTCTGTTGGAATGGAATCATGAATTCCAATTCTGTTGGAATCTAAACTACAATTTGGTTTTGTTTTGACAGAAGTTCATGCTTGAAGAACGGACCACGAAATTTGAACGACGCCTCTTAGCAACATTATTCTTTTAGAATAAATTAGTGTTTTTGTTAGATTTTGATGTTTTTTTTCCCGATTTGAAAGTTTTTTAGTTTTATTCTTTAATAATAAATGTAATTCTTAGCAATTGTTACATGTATTCTATAAGAATTAATATAATTTTTGTTTTAATTCTTCAGTTGCTGGTTCGAGAATTTGTTATTCTACAAGAAAAATATGTTCAAGAATATTTTTATTATTTTATGGTCAAGAATTTTTTTATTTTTGAATATATTGAAACATATTCTGTCAGAATGTCCGAATTAAAAACCTAATAATTCGTAAAAACAGATTTTTAAAATTAATAGAATTTATGATCCCTTAAAATATGCAAACTTCCTTTATTAAATCTATGTTAATTGACTAAAATACCCTTCTAGTTAAATTAGATGGTATTTTTCGATTATTTTTAATTCAATAATATGTATTAATCACTTTCTTAAAATAAGTAAAATAATTGGCCCATATTTATACATACGATAACACAATAATTAGTTTGAATAGAATAACCTAGGCCTATATATATATATATATATATAGGGTGAGGTTCAATAGAGAACCATAATTAACCAATGAACCAAGGAACCAATCTTTTTTTCAACTTTTAGAAATTATTTTTTATCAAAAAAAAAAACTAAAAATACAGAAATTCATAACTTTTTATCATTTTTCCAATGATATCAAATTCAATTTTTTTTACGTCAAATTCACAATGTGAATCTTTGAAAATTCACAATGTGAATCCGGATTCACACGGTGAATCCGAAAAATATTTTTCACATTCACAATGTTAATATATGAATTTAGATATTTTTAGATTTTTTTTTCGATAAAGAATAAGCTCTAGAAATTGAAAAAAAGATTTGGTTCCTTGAAGAACCAATAATTATGGTTCTCTATTGAACTTTTCCATATATATATCTATATATATATATATTATATATATATATATATATATATATATATATATATATCTATATATATATATATATATAGGGTGAGGTTCAATAGAGAACCATAATTAACCAATGAACCAAGGAACCAATCTTTTTTTCAACTTTTAGAACTTATTTTTTATCAAAAAAAAAAAAAACTAAAAATACAGAAATTCATAACTTTTTATCATTTTTCCAATGATATTAAATTCGATTTTTTTTACGTCAAATTCACAATGTGAATCTTTGAAAATTCACAATGTGAATCCGGATTCACACGGTGAATCCGAAAAATATTTTTCACATTCACAATGTTAATATATGAATTTAGATATTTTTAGATTTTTTTTTCGATAAAGAATAAGCTCTAGAAATTGAAAAAAAAGATTTGGTTCCTTGAAGAACCAATAATTATGGTTCTCTATTGAACTTTTCCATATATATATATATATATATATATATATATATATATATATATATATATATTATATATATATATATATATATATATATATATATATATATATGTTTAGGTTCTATGGAAAACAAAATCCCTAAAAATCATAAAAATGCATAAAAAAATACTTAGAGATCACAATTTTTTTTTTGATTTTATATTATGAAAATTCGCAACTTTTTTTTTACATTCTCGCTGAATTTTTTTTTGAAAAAAAAATCCATCTATTGCTTTTTCCGCTATTATTTTCACCAATCCTTTAGCATCATCAATCGATTCGTTCTACTGTTTCCTAACATTGGAAATTTCCCCACTCTGTATGGAACCCCAACTCCTTCTGCATCATAGTCGCCGTAATCTCGAAGGCTATGGCTCTCCTTCTCGGCATATCCACCGTCATCGACACTCGGTACAACCAAGTTCTCTTTAATATGTGATTTGCACGAACTGTTGATTGTAAATTCTGTCCAAAACAACATTCTATTTTAGGTATACGCTGGGTAGACATGAGGTTTTATTGATTTGACCTCTTTTCTTTCTCTTCTAAGATTTATGATTGATTTTTTTCATTGAAATTACTCAAATTACTCATAATTCAATGTTTTATGATCATAAAACTAATTACTAAATCATTGTTCGATTATAAAGATTGAAAACTTATTAATTTAAAGTAAAAATTTTTAAAAAAAATCTTATGCATTTGAATGATACATTACTTTTTTTTCCTATTTGTTTCGCAGAAACCTTCAAAATCATGATCCATTAAGCAGTTAGATGAATTATGTTGTTTTTAGTTTTGTCAATAAGGAAAAAACTGATGCCAACAAAAGAATTGGTAAGATTCAAAGAATGTAAAGATCTATATGCACAACTTTCTGGTTTCTTTGTTGGTTTCTTTTGTTTATTTTCACGCCCTCCAAGTGTTTGTTTTAATTCCCCTGTGAGTTTTTTCATAGTTTAATCTCATGTGTTCTTCAAAAGTAAACCCATCCTTTATCTATCTGTTCTTTTGCAACTTTCTTGAAATTTTTCGATACTTATTGACCCTTTCTCCTACCTACACCTATGTTCACACACAAATTTGTTTGTATTTCTATGATTAATCACATGATATGAATTTTCTTGATTTCGCCTGAAATTTTTTACTTCCGAACCCACATGTAAGTAATCACCTGATTTCGAAGCTGCAAGTAGGGCTGTTCACTATTTGGATAAAACCGAATTGTCCAATTGGACAATTTGGATTGGACTATTTGGTTCGGATATTCGGATCTTTGGATTGGTTTTCAACAAAACTGAATTATTATTTTGGATTTTGGATTGGTTTTGGTATATATAATAAGAACCGAATAGTCCAAAAAACCCGAATAAACATTTATTATTTATTTATTTATAATATATATCTATAGCCATTTATTAATTTTGTAATTTATTTTTTCAAATAGGTTCAAAACGTTTCACCCGATAAAAAAATATTAATATGTATTTTCTCTTAAAGATTTTCTATCCATAAAATATTTAATTATAATATATATCTTCTTAGTAGTTGTTTATAAAATTCAAATCACAACCAAATAATTTGTTTTCGCTTCTTGTGTAAAGTTGGGTAATATTATAATTATATGTCGTTTTAACATGTTTCGGGTTTTGAAAACCGAATTATAAAAACCGATCCAACCGAATTGTAATT